AAATAAAGGAAACCATGAGACCTATGTTTCTTTGGGCCTGGCTTACTTCACTTAATATAATTGTTTCCAAGTCTGTCCATTTCCTAACAAATGGGGCAATGTCATTCTTTCTGATGGAGGCATTGAATTCCATTGTGTATAAGAAAAAAGAAAAAAGCCGGAAGTGGCGCTGTGGCTCAAGTGGTAGAGTGCTAGCCTTGAGCTGAAGAGCTGTGGGACAGCGCCCAGGCCCAGAGTTCAGGCTCCATGACTGGACCCCCAAAAAAAACCCAAGAATTCCATTGTGTATATATACCACATTGTCTTGATCCATTCATCTACTGAGGGGCATCTGGGTTGGTTCCATATCTTAGCTAGGGTATGAGTGCATTTCTTATCAAGCACTGTTGCGTCCTCCTTTGTTTTCCATCCCTTTCCATCCCTCCCCCTGACCCCTTCCGGGACAAAGTTGTAAAATTCATTTTGGACATAACAACTTAAATATAAAATAAATAAATAGTAATGTCAGAATTAAAAATGCACAAAGAGAGAGTTCCGGGAAGATGGCGGAGGAGAAGCTGGAAGCTAAACAAGCTCTCGCATAGAAAGCAGTTTTAGTGTTCCAGTGAACAGTCCTAAGCCAGAGAATCACATCAAGTGTGACATCACAGTACAGAGTTAGGCCAGAGAGGAAAACTCCAGGCAAGGAGACAGATCTGAGCACTTGCCAGCTGCAGCGGCAGCAGCTGTAGCCACCATACCTGCAACACAGAGAATCCGGGACGAAGGCACCAGAAGCTGCAGGCAAGCCAATTCTACTCAACACTAGCAAGAACTGAAAGGGAGCAGACATCTTCATCCTGAAGTTCGCAGACCAGAGACTACCCAGGAACCAAGACTCTGTCGTGAGTAGAAGCCTGAGATCCTCACTCCTTCTCAGAGAGCAGAGGAGGAAAGGCCACCCCTCTCCCCCCACTACCAGAGATCTCCATCTTTGATAGTGACAAAGGCCTGGCTGAGCAGCTAGCTCCAACTCAGGCCTTGGAAGAAAACAAGAGTCATTTAGCAGGTCACAGGAAC